TTTTGCTCCTCTCCTCCGTGTTATCCTCACAACAACTCTGTGAGGTGGGTTAGGCTGAGAGGGTGTCCGGGTCACCCAGCAAGCTTCCATGGCACAGTGGGGATTCAAACCTGGGTTTCCCAGATCCTAGGCAGTCTGGTGTAGTGGTTAAGTGCGCGGACTCTAATCCTGGAGAACCAAATTTGATTCCCCACTTCTCCACTTGCAGCTGCTGGATGACCTTGGGCAAGCCATAGTTCTGTCAGAGCAGTTCTTGAAAGAGCTCTCTTAGCCCCACCTACCCCACAGGGCGTCTGTTGTGAGGAGGGAAAGGGAAAGGAGTTTGTAAGTCACTGTGAGACTCTGAGTGAACGGCGGGGTATAAATCCAATCTCCTCCTCCTCCTCCTCCTTTTTACCCCACCCTACCCCGCAAGCAGGCTCAGGGCAGCTTACAACATATCATACAACAATAAGTTAAAACATTACATCATTCAAATAACATTAACCGATTTAAAAGCATAAATAACTCAGTTTTTAAAAAACCATTAGCAGCTCAATGGTTAGAATCCATTCTTCTGACCACTTTACTAATGCCAGGAAGGGTGGTGGATCCTTTGATGGACTAGATCCGCTGCTCCGGCAGATCTAAACGGCACAAGTGCCAGTTTGACTTCAGGCTTAAGGCAGGTGAGGCTGATGTTGACGTCCACTGCCTCAGCTGAACTTTAACCACTACACCACACTGGCTCTCCAGCTATGTGAATTAATCACCCTGTGAATTAATGATCTCCAAAACGCCCTGTCGTTCACAGCTTTGCTCAGGTCTTGCAAACTGAGGGCTGTAGCTTCCTTGATTGAGTTAATCCGTCTCATGTTGGGTCTTCCTCTTTTCCTGCTGCCTTCCACTTTCCCTGGCATTATTGTCTTTTCCAGTGACTTTTGTCTTCTCATAATACGACCAAAGTACGATAGCCTCAGTTTGGTCATTTTAGCTTCTAGGGAGAGGTCAGGCTTGATTTGATCTGTCGTTGTTCAGTCGGACAGTCGAGTCCGACTCTTTGCGATTTGATCTAGAGCCACTTATTCCTCTATTTGGATGCCCACAGTAACCATAAAACTCTCCTCCGACACAGTTCAAATGAATCAACTTTCTTCCTGTCAGCTTTTTCACTGTCCAGTTTTCACATCCATAGATAGTAGAGTTGCCAGCTCCAGGTTGGGAAATACCTGGAGATTTTGGGGGTGGAGCCTGAGGAAGGCGGAGCTTGGGAAAGGGAGGGACTTAAATGCTGCATCATGCCATAGAGTCCACCTTCCAAAGCAGCCATTTTCTCCAGGTGAACTGATCTCTGTCAGTTGGGGATCAGTTGTAATCCCAGGAGATGTCCAGCTACCACCTGGAGGCTGGCAGCCCTGACAGATAGTAATGGGAAAGAG